CAGCTCAGCTGCGGAGCCAGGCAGGAAAAACACGATGGATAAAGTTTTCCTTGTGCCAGCTTCACCCTCGCCTACGCCAGACAGGAGCAGGGAAACACCGTTATCTTCTCCAGGGGAGTCACAGCTGGGATGGCAGTACCTGTGGAGCTGGCTCCTCTTGCCCTCCCTGCAAGCCAGTGAGAATCCCGCTTCCTCCCGAGGATTAAGGGGATCTTAATCCTCCAGCACGAGATGGAAGAGCCCCACATCTGCTAGAAGAAATGGGAGCTTTTGGGAGGGCAGGGGAGGCAGAGTGACCTGTGCCACAGGAGAGATGCCCAAGGGGAAGGCCTGGATGAACAGGGGAGAGCCGGGAAGCAGCCGGCAGGTAGGGCGGGGGTGAGCCCAAAACTCAGGGGTAGGGGGGATCCTGGGGCTGGAAGCACATGGGAGAGGAAGCAACTTGTGCTGGGTCTCCGCTTGCTTTTCCCCCACCTCCAGACAGTGTGAGTCATATTCAAATATTTAAGCAGCGACCTCCGCAGCCCCAGGTGGCTTTCGCAGCGTCACCGTTTCAGCTTCGAGCCAGGCGTAGGTGCCAACAATGTGGTTTTCACAATGCACAGACTGAAACCCAGAGACTGGCAGATGCAACCACCATCCCTGACTCCTGGAGCCACAAAACACCCTGGGCTCAGCCACCCCGGCACTGGGGCGGGAGTCTGGGTGCTCCGGCTTTAAGGATATTCTTTGGGAAGAGGCAGGGGATGCTTTAGCTCATCGCTTGCCCTGCACGCGGCAAACACCACTGGATCCAACCGCCTCGGTCCTGGGAGAGCCCTGACAGGGCTTGGGCTGAGCGGGCGGCCGAGAGCCGGCCTCTGTCCGGCCTCCCACAAACCTCCGCAGCATTTCAAAATAAGCGCAATGGCTGGGCCTCTCTGAAGTCTGCCTTGTGGGCTTTTTCTGTTTGTTTTTTTGGAGCCAGGAGAGTTCACATTCCCAAGCTTTTCCCTCCAGCCAGTACAGCAGGGTTTATTTTTTTTTAATAAAAAAGAAGAAAGCAGAGCTCTGCATGTAACCTCAGCTTCCCTGAGCAGGGCATCAGCCCCAGGCACCAAACAGGCTGTTTAGAAGAGACTGAAGGAGCTGGCAGCTCTGGGAGCTGGGGGAGTTCTGCAGCCCCATTTCTTCCTTTCCATGCCAAAATCTCAATCCCAGCTACATCTCTAGCCACAGCCACATGTATTGGAGAGACTCCATTTTATAAAGCCACTGTCTTTCTTATGTAAAAGCAAAAACCATGAGGGAAAGAAAAAACTACCAAGTGGAGCCATTTTGTCCATCTCAACCAGCTAACACAGACACCAATGGGGCAGCACCTCCCAAACACCAACAGTTTAAGGAAAAAGGGGAAACCAGGAAAATGAGGCTTTTGCTTCCCAGCAAGCTACCAGGAAGAAAAAGGAGGCTGCTGAGCTTGAAAAATACAGGCAGCTCCTTTGCAAGTCACAAGCACAGAAATACAAGCAACCACCTCTTACCTGAACTTCTCCAGCCCTCCAGGCTTTAAGCACCAGCTTGGCTCTGCAGGGAAGCAGCACCTGGCTGAGCACAGGCAGGGTGAGAAGAAAGCTTGCCGGGACAAAGCATCTCATACCGCTAGCCTGCTTTGGAGGAAGCTGGGATGGAGGAGGGTTAGGTGAACACCAAGCTTTATAGCAACCTGCTACTCTGGGAAAGAAAACGGAGCAAAGTTGCTTTGCCAGCTCCAGTTCTGCTGAATTTAAAGGATCAGCACAAATAATGCACACCTGGAGAAGAGCTTCCGCTGCAGGGCAGGCGGGCCCCAGGGAAAGGGACGTCTCTTTAGAAGTTCTGGGGCACTCCAGGCTCTGCAGTGGGGTTTAGAAAAGAGCTTTGCAGCTGGGGAGCGTCCTGCTGGGTCTGGACCCAGCTGCTACCCAGCTGCATCTGCTGCTCCCGAAGGAAGGATGTATCAGAGCACAATGATTTGTTTTTATTGGGAATATTTGCTTCCTGCCACCGGGATGCATGTGCAGCAGCAGCGAAATGTACAGGGGTTCGGGACCTTGTGTACCATGTGAGACAGAAAAGGCTTGTTCAGGGGGGTATGTATTACCCAGACATCTGTTGAGGCTGTGTAAATGAGAAGT